TTTGGAGGAGCTTTTCATTAGAAAGTCAGGTAAACTTCCTTGACAAGGCAAAAGCTGTTGGCACAATATATTCAGCTTGATATGTCATAGGCATTTGGTAAATGATTTTGGTGGAGAAAATTTTAAAAGTTTTTTTAACAAAGCACATGATACTGTGAAGATTTAGGACAATTGTATGAAAATTTTAAAGAAAAATCTTCCCTAATGAAACTTAAGTTTAAATTTTTTATTGAAGCAAGCTTAAATTTATTGTTGAACTAACATGTTTGGATTGTGACCCAGAGATTGCATTAAGTCTTCACCAGAAAATTTTCATTTTACTTTTCCTTGGGAACATTGGGTAGCATTATAGAAGTGAGGGTATATAAAGAAGTTCTACCGCCTTATTTTTGAAAGTTTTATACAACTCAATTATTAAAAAACCCGTATTTCAGAACATGATTCTTTGTTAGATATCCACTTGGTAAAGTAGCATATTTCTTTATGGTTCTCATGGTTTAAAATAAGGCTAATTTTAAAAATGCTTTTAGATTTATGGAAAAATTGAGCAGATAGTACAGAGTTCTCATATGTTTCTCCACCTCCGTTCCTCCCTGCCCCCACCTTGTTTCCCCTATTATTGCTGTTCAATCGCTCAATCGTGCCTGACTCTTCGCATCCCCATGGACTGCAACATGCCAGGCTTCCTTGTCCTTCATCATCTCCTGGAGTTTGCTGAAACTCATGTCCATTGAGTCGGTGATGCCATCCAACCATCTCATCCTTTTTGTTCCCTTCACCTCCTGCCTTCATTCTTTCCCAGCTTCTGGGTCTTTTCAGTGAGTTGGCTCTTTGCGTCAGGTGGCCAAAGTATTGGAGCTTCAGCTTGTTTCCCATTAGCATTTTGCATTAATGTGGTATGTGGTTCAGTTCAGTTCAGCTGCACAGTCATGTCTGACTCTTTGTGACCCCATGGACTGCAGCACGCCAGGCTTCCCTGTCCATCACCAACTCCCGGTGTTTACTCAAACTCATGTCCATTGATTTGGTGATGCCATCCAATCGTCTCATCTCTGTCTTCCCCTTCTTCTCCCGCCTTCAATCTTTCCCAGCATCAGGGTCTTTTCAAATGAGTCAGTTCTTCACGTCAGGTGGCCAGAGTATTGGAGTTTCAGTCTTTCTAGTGAATATTCAGGACTGATTTCCTTTAGGATGGACTGGTTGGTTCTCCTTGCAGTCCAAGGGACTCTCAAGAGTCTTCTCCAAGAGCACAGCTTAAAAACATCAAATCTTCGGCGCTCAGCTTACTTTATAGTCCAACTCTTATATCCATACATGACTACTGGAAAAACCATAGCTTTGACTAGATGGACATTTGTCTGCAAAGTAATGTCTCTGCTATTTAATATGCTGTCTAGGTTGTTCATAACTTTCCTTCCAAGGAGCAACTGTCTTTTAATTTCATGGCTGCAGACACAATCTGCAGTGATTTTGGACCCCAAGAAAATAAAGCCTGTCACTGTTTCCACTGTTTCCCCATCTATTTGCCATGAAGTGGTGGGACCAGATGCCATGATCTTAGTTTTCTGAATGTTGAGTTTTAAGCCAACTTTTTCACTCTCCTCTTTCACTTTCATCAAGTGGCTCTTGAGTTCTTCACTTTCTGCCATAACGGTGGTGTCATCTGCATATCTGAGATTATTGATATTTCTCCCGGCCGTCTTGATTCCAGCTTGTGCTTTGTCCAGCCTAGTGTTTCTCATGATGTACTCTGCATGTAAGTTAAATAAGCACAGTGACAATATACAGCCTTGATGTACTCCTTTTCCTATTTGGAACCAATCTATTGTTCAATGTCCAGTTCTAACTGTTGTTTCCTGACCTGCATACAGGTTTCTAAAGAGGCAGGTCAAGTGGTCTGGTATTCCCATCTCTTTCAGAATTTTCCACAGTTTGTTGTGATCCACACAGTCGAAGGCTTTGGCATAGTCAATAAAGCAGAAGTAGATGATTTTTCTGGAACACTCTTGCTTTTTCTATGATCTGACAGATGTTGGCAATTTGATCTCTGGTTCCTCTGCCTTTTTTAAAGCCAGCTTGAACGTCTGGAAGTTCACGGTTCACATACTGTTGAAGGTGGCTTGGAGAATTTTGAGCATTATTTTACTAGCATGTGAGATGAGTGCAATTGTGCGGTAGCTTGAGCATTCTTTGCCATTGCCTTTATTTGGGATTGGAATGAAAACTGACCTTTTCGAGTCCTGTGGCCACTGCTGAGTTTTTCAAGTTTGCTGACATATTGAGTGCAGCACTTTCACAGCATCATCTTGTAGGATTTGAAATAGCTGAACTGGAATTCCATCACCTCTACTAGCTTTGTTCGTAGTGATGCTTCCTAAGCCCCATTTGACTTAGCATTCCAAAATATCTGGGTCTAGGTGAGATAATCACACCATCGTGATTGTCTGGGTCATGAAGATTTTTTTTTTGCATAGTTCTTCTGTGTATTCTTGCCACCTCTTCTTAATATCTTCTGCTTCTGTTAGGTCCATGCCATTTCTGTCCTTTATTGTACCCATCTTTGCATGAAATGTCCCCTTGGTATCTCTAATTTTCTTGAAGAGATCTCTAGTCTTTCCCATTCTATTGTTTTCCTCTATTTCTTTCCATTGATCTCTGAGGAAGGCTTTCTTCTCTCTTTTTGCTATTCTTTGGAACTCTACATTCAAATGGTATATCTTTCCTTTTTTCCTTTGCCTTTTGCTTTTCTTCTGTTCACAGCAATTTGTAAGGCCTCCTCAGACAACCATTTGGCTTTCTTGCATTTCTTTTCCTTGGGGATAATCTTTATCCCTGCCTCCTGTACAGTGTCACGAACCTTCATCCAGAGTTCTTTAGACACGTTGTCTATCAGTTCTAATCCCTTGAATCTATTTTTCACTTCCACTGTATAATCATAAGGGATTTGACTTAGGTCAAACCTGAATGGTCTAGTGGTTTTCCCTACGTTTTGAATTTAAGTCTGAATTTGGCAATAAGGGGTTCATGGTCAGAGCCACAGTCAGCTCCTGGTCTTGTTTTTGCTGACTGTATAGAACTCCATCTTTGGCTGCAAAGAATATAATCAGTCTGATTTTAGTATTGACCATTTGGTGATGTCCATGTGTAGAATCTTCTTTTGTGTTGTTGGAAGAGTGTGTTTGCTATGACCAGTGCGTTCTCTTGCAAAACTCTATTAGCCCTTGCCCTGCTTCATCTGTACTCCAAGGCCAAGTTTGCCTGTTACTCCAGGTATTTCTTGACTTCCTACTTTTGCATTCCAGTCCCCTATAATGAAAAGGACATCTTTTTGGGTGTTAGTTCTAGAAGGTCTTGTAGGTCTTCATAGAACTGTTCAACTTCAGCTTCTTCAGTGTTACTGGTTGGGGCATAGAGTTGGATTACCGTGATATTGAATGGTTTGCTTTGGAAATGAACAGAGATCATTCTGTCATTTTTGAGACTGCATCCAAGTACTGCATTTCGGACTCTTTTGTTGACTATGATGGCTACTCCATTTCTTTTAAGGGATTCTTGCTCACAATAGTAGATATAATGGTCATTTGAATTAAATTCATCCATTCCAGTCCATTTTAGTTTGCTGATTCCTAAAATGTCCACGTTCACTCTTGTCATCTCCTGTTTGAGCACTTCCAGTCTGCCTTGATTCATGGCCCTAACATTTCAGGTTCCTAGGCAGTATTTCTCTTCACACGTTGGACTTCTCTTCCGTCAGCACTCACACCCACCGCTGGGTGTTGTTTTGCTTTGGCTTTGTCTCTTCATTCTGGAGCTGTTTCTCCACTCTTCTCCAGTAGCATACTGGGCACCTACTGACCTGGGGAGTTCATCTTTCTGTGGTACATGGTACATTTGTCATAATTAATATACCATTGTTATATTAACTAAGATCCATATTTTATAATAAAATTTACTTTGTGTTTATAGTTCTTTTTGTAGGTTTTGACAGCGGTATAGTGTCATGTACCCACTATTACAGTATCATACAGAATAGTTTTACCTCTGAAAGTTACCTGTGCTTCACCTATTCATCTTCCTTGCCTTCTCTGCAACCCATGGTTGCTATAGTTTTGGCTTTTGCAGAATGTCATATAGTTGGAATCATATAGTATATAGCCTTTTCAGACTGGCTTCTTTCACTTACCGATGTGTATTTATGGTTCCTACATGTCTTTTTTGGCTTGACTGTTCATTTTTTTTTATTGCTGAATAATATTCCATTGTACACTGCAGTCTGTCCATTCACCTATTGAAGAACATCTTGATTCCTCTCAATTTTGGGCAGTTATAAATAAAGCAGCTATAAATATTTTTGTGTAGGTTTTTTATGAATATATTTTTCAGTCAATTTGGTATTTAAATACGTAGGAGTGTGATTGTTGGATAATATAGTAAGACATTGTTTAGCTTTGTAAGGAAGTGTCAACTGTTTTCTAAGGTGGCTGTACCATTTTGCGTTCCCCTAGCAATGAGGGTTCCTTTTGCTCCATATTCTCATCAGCAATTGTTACTGTCAGTTGTTTAGATTTTATCCATTTTAGTAGATGTGTGTTGGTATCTTGTTGTTTTAATTTGTAATACCTTAAAGATAGGATGTTGAGCATCTTTTCGTATGCTTACCTGCCATCTGTATATCTTCCTTGTGACTTCCCTGGTGTCTCAGACAGTAAAGAATCTGCCTGCAATGTGGGAGACCTGGATTCTTTGGTGAGCTATTTAGATTTTTGCCATTTAAAAATTGTGTTGTCTTCATATATTAGTTGTTTCTTACTGTTAACTGTTATTTAAGAGTCCTTTGTATATTTTTGAATACAGGTCCATAAAGGAGATATTTATCAGATAAACTGATAAATATTTTGCAAATATTTTCTCTGTCTGTGATTTCTCTTCAGTTTTTTGTTTAAATTGGTAAAGGAGAAAGGGGGCTTGATATCTAACTCAACCAAAGTATTAAGCATATGTATCTGGGTAGACATGTTCTCATACTTGAAAGCAATCATATGTTGCCTGCAATTTTTTTAAGTTGTTTCATGGACGTCTTGTTAGGTGATAATTTTCATATATCTGTGTTTGTTTCAGTGGCTACATAATTACCATTTTTGAGTGTCCTTTCTTTAGTCATTAATTCATTAATTCTACAAATACAGTACCTGTCATGTGTCAGTTACTGGGGACAAAGCATGCTAGAATCTCTCCTCAAAGAGCTTCCATCAAATTAGAGTTCAAATTAGAGTTCCGTATTCCTCTATTTATCTCTCCTTTTTTTTTGCTCTTTTATACAGTGTTATATTAAATATCCTTGTATACAGATCTTTTATATCTTGATACGCTTGTGCTATGTTTCTAATTATGGGCCTACTGAACCTAAAGGATACTTGCTTAAAATTACTGATTTTTGCCAACTGGTAAAAATGATTTTCTTTTATTGTTTTTATTTTACAGTTCCCTAATCCTTGGAAGAATTGTGCTTGTTTTACTATGTTTTATTGGCATTTGTATGACAGTGAACTGCCTATTTTGATTTTTTGCCCATTTTCCCTCTAATTTCTTACTGATTTGTGAGAGCTCCTGTATATTGTGGGTTTTTTTTCCCTTGTCTGTTTATATACTGCAGATCTTTTCTCCCAGTCTTATTTACGTTTTATTTTTTATTTCTTCTTAATTTGGGACTTAACCTAGAAGTTGCATGATTAAGACTCCCTGGGTGCCCTTCACTCACATTCTTCAAATGTTAGCATTTTAGTATATTTGTTTTCTCCTTTCATTAAAAAAAAAAAAAGTATCATGAATTCCTTGGCGATCCAGTGGTTAGGACTCCATGCTTCCAATGCTGAAGTGCTGGTCAGGAGCTGAGATCCTACTGAAACCGTGTACCTCTGATTGGGAGCTGAACCCATGGTTTTTAGAGTAGAATCCTTCATCTGGTGTCTGGACTTGATGAGGCTCAGGTTCTTTGTGTCTCAGTGCAGAAGGAATTTGGCAAGAGGCAAAGTGATGGTCTAGAGTTGTTTATTAATATAGGATGCTTGTGAGTGATGCAAGCTGACAGGTGAGGGGTTCTGCCCTGATGGCTACATGTTTATTACCAAAGCAAAGAGGGGGAAAGACCACCTTCTTTCTCATTCTTTGAGTAGCTGTTAGGCTTACATCAGGAGCTCCTCTTCCATATTGGGCAGAAGAGTGACCTTCTGAGGTCACACTAGTACTGACATCGTGTCTAATCCAATCAGCAGAGGGGTGGTAACAGTGTTCTTTCATTTAATGATCTGGGACTGTATCTCCTGCTTTATACTTAAGCAAGCCTGCTTCATTCCAGAATGTTTCTTGAGCCATCATTAACTTAGAGTGGTCTGCCAAAGTTCCCTAGGCTTCCCTCTCTATCTGTAATCTCCTACTGGGACTTCTACAACTACCTGTGTAACTCTTCTCTTCTGTTGCTATCAGCACAACCATAACAACCTTACCCCCATCCCCAGCAACAACCGTTAAGGCACAAAGCTTGTTTAAAAAAAAAATTAACCCTCAGATATTGAAATCCTTATGTGTATTCAAACTTCTCTTTTTCAAGCAGTGTGGTAAGTGTATTTAGTCTTTTCTTAAACGGTTCAGGACGTTAGGAACATTATTAATTCTTTTTTTGGCTGTGTGTGACAACGTTTTGTACCTCTTGAACAGGAATGGTTCTGATTAGGTTGAATGAGTCTAGGCCACTTCTAAGAGTTTTTGTTTGCCTTTCTTAAATTAAAAAAAAAAAAAAAATTTCTTTTTCCTATTTTCCTTCACTATCTTTTGCCTGCCAGGTAGCTGTACTTTCCTGTTAATAAATTCTTTATTGCTTATAATAGTCTCTAATTTGCTGTGAAGTAGGGAAGCCAGGTACATGCAGTATTCTAAGAAGCTGGATCTAAATAACAAATGCATTTAAGTATGAGGCCTTGGGAGTCTCCCTTAATCAGTGGATGGACTGTATGTTTTTTCCTCTAAGAGACATGGCTTTTCTTGACAATGATGATGGCAGTTAGGATCTCAGACATTCCTAACTGCCCCTGGAGATAGGTAGGGCCAGAGATGTTATCCTTAATTTATAGAGGAAGTAATGGGTGGTGGCTGTAATGTTGTTTTTAGGAGAGCTGGGATTTGAATCTGTTTTTTTCGTCTAAATCTATTGAATAAGCATTGTTTTTAGTAATACTTCTTTGTCCTGTCTGTTACTAATAATACTTTCTAGAAAGTTATGTTGTGTCCTGGCTTTAAGTACCATTCTCTCATGGATTTTTATGAAACGTAAATTTTAAATTAAAATAGGTTACTGGCACAGAATTTTCAAGTTCCCATTGGCCTATAGCGTGGGTTCCATATTAGAAGTGGGAAGAAGATTGAGTCTATTGGACTTAATCTTTCATTTTCATTAATAATTGCTAATTTCATGGGAATTCCGTGGTGGTCCAGTGGTTAGGATTCTGAGCATTTGCTGCTAAGGGTCTGGGCTAATCACTGGTTGAGGAACTAAGGTCCTGCATGCTGTGCACTGTGGGTCTCCCCCCAACCCCGAATAAATGTCGTTATCTGTTAGGCTATTATATACAGTCCTGTCTGCGCTCTGCCTGGAGCTCTCTGCATGGGTGGTTCCGTTCAGCTCTCAGATTAAACGTTGCATCTTCAGAGCCCTTTCCTGACCTGAAATTACTTCTCCCTACGTCTCCCTCTTCTGTATCGTATCACCCTGTTTGTTTCCTTTATGGCGCTTAATCACTTTCTGGAAATGCCTTTTGGAAATATCTTGTGTGTTGTTATAGCCAGTAAAATGCTAACTCTGTGATTTTTATCCTTTGTCCATCTTTAGGGCTTATTTTATCTCATAGGCAAGTGCTTTGGTCTGTCTGAACTCCTCTGAGCCACGTCCTGTGCCCAGGAATGAGGCGCTTTGCGTTAAGGGCTTCTCTGAGGGCCTCTTGTCGTGATTACCTCTGTATCCACAGAACCTGGAATAGCAGTCTTAAAGAATATAATTTCAGCAAGCATCATGAAGTGAATGTAGTGACAGCATATTAGCCTTTTCACTTGAAAGGTACGGTTGAGGCTTATAGTCTAATGTGCTTTTCAGAGAATAAGCATATGGCATAGCTATATTATTTGATGTGGTTCAGTCGCTGAGTCCTATCCAACTCTGTGACCCCGTGAACTGCAGCCTCTCAGGCTCCTCTGCCCATCCCAGGCAAGAATACTGGAATGGGTTGCCATTTCCTTCTTCAGGGTATCTTTCTGACCCCCGGGATCGAATAATTTCCTATTGGCAGCCCAGCTACATTATTACTGATTAATAATATCATTTTGTATATGTATTTTTTAAACAAAATTTTCAGTTACCAGATAGCCAGTCCGTCCAGTTTGAAGCCATAGAAAACATTTGAATTAAGAAAACAAAAACAGAAAACCCTTGTTCTGTGAATCTTAGAGTGTGATTCTCAGACTTACGTCTCTGAACCACTTTGACAGAGCAAGGAGACATGGACGCTGGTATCTTGTTTAATAGTCAACATTTCTTTTTAGGTTCCATTTTTGACACAGAAGCTTCATTAGTATGAGAGGAGAACCAGACCACTGACTGCTGTCCCCCGTTTAGTCAGTCTTATTTTCCAAATGCAGAGTGCTTTGGGTACTCGGATAAAACCAGGGGAGAAGAATGATTTGGTTGGTGATGCCAGGGAAACTGCACCTTCCGTGCCCGGATTGGTTTGTGACAAGCAGCTTGCTACCTACTGTTTAACTCTGTGCTTTGTTCTGAGTTATTTTTGGAGTAACTCATGTGATGGAAAGAAATAATATAGAGGATAGGAGAAATTGAGGAAAAATTTATTTCCCTGTCCTGGGGAGAAGGTATAGAAATAGCTAATTTACTCTGTGTTCATTTTTAGAGTTTGTTCTATCACAAAGGCATGTGATTAGGTCTCAGTGAATTCTTCTGAATGCCTTCCTTTGCCAGGCCCAGCTACTAGATTATCTTGATTCAGGACTACTCACAATATTTTTTTGCTTGGTTGCCTTCCTTTTTCTAAGATGATTTTAAAAAGCCCTTTACGTATACAGAATACTCTGTGCCAATTAAATAATAGCTTTTTCTTGTCAGTTATTGAAAGGTAAAAGACTTAAAACAGCATCAATTTGTTTGAATTTGTGCATGTAATATCATTTCATTTTTTATTTTTGTTGTTGAAGTTAGAATGAAAGGATGGGGAGCATAAGGGAGGGAAAAATTATATTCTCAAGTTATGTAGAAAATAGAAATATAATGGCTTTGAACATGTTGACAATTAAAAAAAGGACCAGATTTTATGTTTATTATACAACCATTAAAAGCATGTTGCTGATGATATCTCCCTGGAGTATCTTGGTTCAGGCATATCTTCCATTTGGTGGGTAAGAAAAATTAGACACACAAAGTCAATGTAATTTTTCCAGTTACATATAGAGAAAACAATAAGTAGTGTGTAGATTTCCTTGACTCTGCCTATATTTTATCCAGTTGAAATGTATATGGAACTCAGGACAGGTGATGTACTTTGTATAGTTTCCCAGCTGTACATAGTAACGGCTCAATTAAATTTTGCTGTTATTCTTCAGGGAGAAGTTTTGTTCTGGTTGCTGAAGATGTATATATTGATGACATTTTTGAGCATGGACATAATATTTGTGTTCATGTTGATAAGAAAATTGAATTGGATTTCAGTACAAAACTTTGGTAAACATTTTGCTATACAGGCTTTTGTGTTTTGGGTTTCTACTTTTATGATGTTTAGGCAACACCGTTGGTTTTAGATAAGAGAAATTTGAATCTCTTGATTCTATTTTCTTCCGGGGCTGTATCTGCCTTTGCTGGCATTTTGCATAGCAAGTACAGGTCGTATTGTATTGAATGCTAAGTTTACTTCAGTGTTTAGTATTAGATGGTTTGTATAGTATATGTACTGAGGATGTCTTTGTAATTTTGACATGAGTATAGTATTATATATTGACTAAATTTATGTTTTTAAATATTAAGGAGTGTGGATATTTTAATCTTTACATGCCAAGAATTCTGGGATCTCCTTGTTCCCCTCCTTTAATTGCTGCTGGTGGAGGTAGAAGCCCTTCTCAGTGTTAATAGATGCCATCACCCATTCCCTTCCCCCAGCTTTACGCTGGAGCCTCGTTTGCCTGCAGCTGCAATGGTAGGCATCTTTCAGGAAGTGACCTTGGCTTGTATTAATCAAATTCAGAACACACAAAAAGCTTCTTGCTAACATGCTGACTTGATGTAAAATTTTATCGCATCCATTTTCTTTCAGAATGAGGCCATCTTGTAAAAAGAAGATATACAGAAGACTCCTCCAATTTAATATATTAAAAAAGCTTCTGTAAACCATGTTTAAAAAAAAAAAAACAACCTAGATTTTAAAAGTAAAGACTACTAGTGGCCAAATGTGCATAAACCTAAATCATAAAGGTTTGGGAGTTGTTACTAGAAAATTAACTTGTTTTAATGCTGAATAAAAAGAAAGTCTTGTATGTTAGCATCAAGCTTATTTACTATTTAGCTACATTAAATACAATTTAGTATTATATTTAATATATTATTTATATCAAAATATTAAAAAATCAAGCTATATATTTAATATATAGCTACATTAAATTATTGTGGAAAATTTATACACTATGAATTTATTTTGGGGCCCTTTAGTAAACATGTATTAAGAGAGATACTTTTTTTTTTTTTAAAGAGAGATACTTTTGTATATAGTTTATCTTTGGGTGTTCAGAAATGACTGATCTTACTGTGTTGGTTTGGATAAGAAAACTAATATCCTGCATGGAATCATTTTCTTATGTAGTGGCAGTACCTACAGGGACTTCTGCATATAACAGAAGATTAAGTCTGCAAGACTGCTAAAATTTGACCACCTATTATATTTATGAGAAATATTCTAACTACAAATTCACACAGTTGCTTCTTTACTATTTAACTGATCATTATGATAGAGCAGTTAATATAGCTCTCACTTTTATCATGTCAAAGAAATCTAGTTTTTAAATGTAGGATAGTTAGTGTTTGTGTTGTAGAGATCTTTATTTTAACCTTGTTCAGTGTTATATGTAGAAAACAGTATTTCATGGGTTAGTTTGCTAATGTTTTCTACATTTGGGAGAAATTTACATTAAAAAAAACAAAACTTGGAGCTCAGTCTCATCTGTTGCGAAGTGGTTCTCTCTTGAGTTTATTTTGTATAGGAGTCACATGTGTGTACTGAACTGTTTTAGAAAAGAAATACAGAAAAAGAAAGCTTAAACCTTAGGAGCTGTACCTGCATTTTGGTAGATATACAGTATGAAAAGTACAGGCATGTTGTGTGTGTATTAATGATTAGGAGAGGAGATAGAGAACCTATGCAAATAAAAAATTGGGGTTAGATAAATACTTTAATGGCTTCAACATCTGAGTTATTATTTACTGGAAACATAATCAGCATTATCTGTGATCGTATTGTAACTTGTTCTTAGAATTTCAGCCTCATGGAGATAAATCTATCTGTAACCTGCCTAAGTTCGCTCTTTGTCTCGATACCAACATTAATAATTGGTTTGTTAGATACTACAGGAGAATTTCAAAGAAAATGACTCAATCATTTTTCTCCACTCAAATACCTGTTTAAAATACATGGTCTTCAATAAAATCGTCACCTTGAACTTAAAATGTTCTTTGCCGCCTCCTCTGCTGCCACCCTCCCAAGCCCCCCGTTCCCCACTAAGGAGAAAGGAACGCCTTACGAGGAAAGGAACACATACAATCCTGGTAGCCAATGAGTTAATGTTCATTTGCAGCCTGAGGGTCAGCGTTCAGTCCCTGTTTCCTGATTGGCTGCTAAAAGGTGAAATTGAAACCACTGTAAACTTTTGACCCTGTAGCAATTCTTGTGGAACGCCTTCCACTGGTGGAGCCCAGAGCTTCAGCTCACCTCTCCACCCAACCCCTCCCACCCCCTTTCCTGTATTTATTTTGTGTGATCGTGCAGCACTGCATGCGGTTTTTCCAGGAGAGGGGGGAGAGGGAAGCAGAACAAGCACCAGCAAGCGGCTGGCTTCATGCCTGTTTTAGCAACCATGTCATTACTAGCTACAACTCAGCCAGAGATAGGGAGCTTGTTAATAAACTGGTCTGCCAACTGGATTTTTTAGTTTTCTCTTTAATCTCAAGGTAATTTAAAAAATGCAGAATGGTCGTATTTACTGTCATTGTTCATCAGTGGATAGTATCGTAGTGTAAGCAAAATATATGGCACGATTTCCTGAATGTGTTGAGTTAAAAATAGCTTTCATATTCAGCAAACTTTATATACCCCATTAATGTTTCCTTTGTCTCTTATGATTTTTACGCAAATGCCTAGCGTTTTACAAAAGTTTTTTTTTTGCCTTCTTTGCCTTTGACTTTTGTTATAAAGAAACTCTACTGGCATTTCATTCTAACTATGGAGAATAATTGCAGAAATTATCTGTACATTCAAAGTTTGTTAATAACCACCCCCCCCTTTTTTCTTTTTCTTGGATGAGGTAATGGTTCTCGATTTGTCTTATATTCACATGTAAATAGTGCTTTACAGTTACCACAGAAATATTCTAACTACAAATTCACACAGTTGCTTCTTTACTATTTAACTGATCATTATGATAGAGCAGTTAATATAGCTCTCACTTTTATCACGTCAAAGAAATCTAGTTTTTAAATGTAGGATAGTTAATGTTTGTGTTGTAGAGATCTTCATTTTAACCTTGTTCAGTGTTATATGTAGAAAATAGTATTTCATGGATTAGTTTGCTAATGTTTTCTACATTTGGGAGAAATTTACATTTAAAAAAAAAACAAAACTTGGAGCTCTTCTCTCACCTTTAACACTGTTACCAGACTCTCTGTCTTCATCTTTGGTTCCTCCTTATATTCCTGGTGTCGGGCAGAGTGTAGCAGGTTGATGCTCAGCAGATACTTACTGAGTGAACATAGTTTTCATTTCAGAAACTATAGTGGCTATTTGTACCTGCTACTCCTTTCCTAATTAATAGCAGGAACCATGTTTTGCTTGTACTTTTGAGGTCCTGTGCAGCACCTGGCATCTGATAGGTACAGAGCAAACATTTAAGTGAATTAAATGCCTTCCCCAAGGTTATGAATCTGAACTTCCAAAACCTAGGTTTTCTGAAACTAAAGCTTCTTTTCTAACTGCCTCTTTTAAATTTTCAGATTGATTCTACATAGAACTAAACATTTATTATAACTTATTAAATGACTATTCAGAATAAGTTATTATAAATCAATTTGGTCTTTTCTAAGATACATCATAAGCTGGGTAGTAATACATGTCAAGTATTTCTTTTTTATAACCTGTCCTTACTTTACTAAGCCTGCATGTGCTATAATTTGAAGTAATTCCCACTCTCCTTGTCAGAAAGACTGGTATTTTTGAAAGTTTGTCATCAGTGTATTGCCAGTATTCTCTTGGGTACCAAATACATTTTTCCTTATTTACTTGAACATGAAATAATGGACTAATAAATTTTAAAGAGAAAATTCTTTTTTTCTGTGAAGTTTATATAACTTAAAAACAGTAGCATCCTTTTATATAATTTAAAACTTTCCTATGGTATTAAAGTTAGATCCTTTCTTTCCCTTTTCATTAGATTGGTTGTAGTTGATTGTTGTAAGTAAAACCAGGTGTTATAGTTTTGACAAAGGATATATTTATTGTTTGATAAATAATCTCAGCTGCAAAAAAAAGTGTTCTTTGCGCCAATATTACATAATCTTTAAGTAAATGGGACGTTTAATTGGTGTACAAACTGATTGTGTATTGCTTTTAAGATGAGTGGGCAACAGCTGGCTTTTCCCAAAGATGGCGGTTCCCCTTCTGCATCTGTGATTTTAGGGAACCGAGGAGGGAGTCCCTGGGAGCCCTGCCTGCAGCAGCCTGGAGAGAAGAGTGAGCTCAATATGATTAATAGTCGAGTCCTCGCCCCCGTCCGTGCTCAACAGCAAAAGAAAAACACCTTCATAATATTCAGTGGCCTCTCTGTCCAGTTGGTGTTTCCCAGCATCAGCATTATGTAGTTTGGATTTTCTTCTCAGCTCCCCTCCCCCAGTTTGATTCTTTGTTCTGGCCTCGAGGCACATCTTCTCAGACTAGCTTTTATTAACAAAGCTCAGTTTGATCTCCCCAAGCCCCCAATAGCTTTCTAGTGATGCAGGTTTTGATAATTTGGATCTCATCAGTCACCTTTATGTTAATTCTGGTAGACAAATTGGGGCTTCCCTGGTGACTCAGTGGTAGAGAATCCACCTGCCAATGCAGGGTATACGGGTTCAACCTCTGGGTCAGGAAGATCCCTAGAAGAAGGAGGTGACAATCCATTCCAGCATTAGTGCCTGGGAAATCCCATAGACAGAGGAACCTGGTCGGCTACAGACCATGCGCTCGCAAAAAGAGTCAGACACAACTTGGCGACTAAACAAACAAACAAAAAAATACAGTCCTATTAAAACGGCCCTGACAGTCCTATTAAAACGGCCTTTGCAGACTCTTGGTTCTAGACTAGTCAACTGCAGTGTCCCAGCGGTTCCATACTTGACAGGATCTTGGTAGATAGTACTTTTTAGACTCCTTTCAGTTTGCTGGTAGGCAGGCCAGTAGTTGCTCTGATTATTTGGAGGCCTCTCTAATCCAGTTACACACTTCCTGGGAGAGGAGAACTTTTTAGATGGTATTCCTTTATGTTCTGAGGGTTATGGGGTACAGATTGTCTGTGTCAGTACTCCTTTGGATAGTTCTCATCAGCAGTACAATACTTCAGTATGACTGTAGGCTCGCTCTCTCACCAGCTTTTCACATTAGGCAGCAGTGCTTGTTCCCTGGATCAGTCATTAGGTACATTCTGACTCAAATGCCTTTTCCTGCCCACCCATCTTGTTCTCTAGGTACTAATGTCACCCCATGAACTCCCCCTTACCTATCAAAAGAAGCAACAACAAAAGAACCATTTCTCTTTAAAAATTACATTTGTTTATTTTTGGCTGCACTGGCATGCATTGCTGCGTGCAGGCTTTCTCTAGCTGTGGTCAGTGGGGCTCCGCTTGGTTGCGGTGTGCGAGCTTCTCAGTCCTGCCGCTTCTTTTCTGTTTGAGGCTCGTGGGCTCTAGAGCTCGGGCTCAGTAGTTGTGTACTGGCTGAGTTGCTCTGAGGCATGTGGAATCTTCCCAGACCAGGGATTGAACCCGTGTTCCTTCCATTGGCAGGTGGATTCTTAGCCACTAGACTGCCAGGGAAGTACAAACCATTTCCGAGATGAAATTTGATTTAAAACTGGAGCCAGAAAACCTTGAACTTTCTTTACAGTACTTTTGCCTACCTCCCCCCCCCCCCACCACTGTACTCTAGTTAAATTGAATATAAAAATTCAAGTTATAAAACATTTAATTGAATGAATTAATGAATTAAAGTTGCTCAGTCATATCTTGACTTTTGCAACCCCATGGACTATACGTACAGTCCTTGGAATTCTCCAAGTCAGAATACTGGAGTGGGTAGCCTTTTCACTTCTCCAGGGGGTCTTCCCAACCCAGGGATCGAACCTAGGTCTCCTACATTGCAGGTGGATCCTTTCCCAGCTGAGCCACCAGGGAAACTCAGGAATACTGGAGTGGGTAGCCTGTCCCTTCTCCAGCGGATCTTCTCAATCCAGGAATTGAACCCGGGTCTTTTGCATTGCAGTAGGATTCTTTACCAGGGAAGCTCAATTCATTAAAAAACCAAAGTTGTTTGTGTTTTCTCTTGTTTTTTATTTCAGTGTGCTTGGAAACTCTTACTATACTATGTGTCAGATAGTCTTGTTTGGCTAATAATTGTTTTTATTTATTGAGCTTGTATATACTAGGTACTAGTAAGTAATTTAAGCATTTTCACTTAATCGTCACAAGAACCTTATGAGTTGTGATACCCATTTTAAGATGAGAAATCTAAGGCTCAAAGATGTCTTACATTGACCCAGGAGTACCTACCAGTAAGTGAAAGAGCTGCGAGTTGGCTGATTGTAGATCTTATGGGCTCTGAAGCTTCTGCTCTTTAGCCATTATGCTAACAACTTATATGTACTATTGTGGATTGGAAGATGCAGTCCAAGAACTCGCTTACTTTTGGCATTATCTCAGTGATAAATTGGAGACTACTGTAATTATTAGTAGACACAGTACTAGATACAGGAGTTCCTTTTATAACTTTAATTGCATGCCACTTATATATTACCTAGATTTTCCTCTTCTCCCTTCGTCAGCAACGTTATGATGTGATATCGTTCTGCCCTCAACCCTCATCCCCCCAATTTCTCACCTTTAATTTAAGTTTCAAAAGTGCAACAGATCCTTCACATCATGCACCTAGATTGTGGTTGGTTGTTTCCCATCTACTGTGTGGATTGGCCATGAATGTGATGTGTTTATTACTGGGAACTTGTGAGTATATCATTTTTCCTTCCATCCTTTCTCAGCAGACTTGCCAGTTCCAGCAATAATGCTATTAACTTAAGGGCTTAGCTATGGTTGTCGTATCTATAGATAGCTCTAGAATGAGTGGTAGTCAGAGTGTGCTCTGTCACATTTGGAAAAGCGTAAGGTGAGAGTGAATGTTTCTATTGGCTCACTTTTTTGTTGCACTAGAGCCTGCTCCACATTTCCTCAAGTGCAGGAGTCTGCAGTTCTATATGTTCACATTTACTGAAGTTTATTTTGAAGAACTGTCCTTCATTTACCTGTCTGCTGTTTAAAACTATTATTTTTTTGTGTGAATGGAATGATGTACCCTTTTTGAGAGGGGAAGAAAATATCCAGTACTTTTTAAAATTTCTTTCTCCCTTTTCTTTGGCTGCTTTATCCATCTATCTGGTGGGTATTTATTTTTTTTGGACTTGAAGATTTAATTAGCTTCTTATAGGATATTTATATTGTTTTAAATTGTTAATTTATTGAGCATTTCCTTTGGACTCGGGGGGAACATCCCAAGTTCAGATTATCCATCTGGTTTCATCACTCTTCAAAACTTGGAGCTGGTCTCCTTCATCACTACTTTGCATTATCTATGTTTACAAACTGTGACGGATTGTATTGTGTACGCCCTGCCTGATTTTTTTTTTTTAAACAGAAGTAGTAATATATGGCAAAATAAGACATCAAGTTCAAATTCCTAGGAAGAGGCTTCCTACTTGATAACTTTTTGTTAGTTTTGTTTCTTATGTCCAGGGAAGGGAAAGGTGGGAAAAGTTAACTTATGTGTGACTAATAATAATATTTATATTAAGAAAGGGCAATAAAAATCAATACCTTTTTTTTTATTTGTTTTTGTCCTCAGGATCAAAATACTTGCTGAACAGTGGAGTCAGAGACCAATAAAAACAAACATAAACTACTTGAACAGCATTTGACTGGTTAGCCAGGTAATTCAGTTTTACTTTGGATCCTTTATAATTTTCTGACTTCACCCTCTGAAGATACTGCCCACTCTGTGATTCTATGATTTCGTCTTAAGCTTGTTTTATATGTTATGTTGTCCTCTTTAATGATACTGTTAGTTGAATGAAGGGTCTTGGAATAAGTTAATATATATGTATATTCTATATACAAATATAAATTTGAAGGGAAGGAGTATGTTACAGTTTAACGTGAAATGCTGCCATCAGCCCTCTTCTTCTTACTTGTGAATATTCTAATGGCACTTAATCGGAATCCGCTCCACCCATTTTGACGATTTCACCTTGCGGAGGCTAGTTTCCTCAGATTGCTTGTGCTGGTGTGTAGCATTTCAGCTGACTCCTCTCCTAACTTTTGTTACGGAATCAGAGTAGGAAAAATGAGAATGAAAAAATTGTCTGATAGCCATGAAAGCACTTATGCCTTGTTTAGGTAGTTAAATTTCTTTTTGTCAGTAACATTATTATTCTCTTGGTTGGTTGGGCTTGAAGTCTGAGTCATCTTTGAATTCTGCCCCCTTTGATATTTTTAGTAAACAAGCCTTATCTGCTTTTCTATTTTCATGTCTCCTCTATTCTTTGAACTTTCTGTTACCAATCTTAGCTTCCTAGGCCAAGACCCCATAATTTCATGCTGGTGTTTGAAATGTGCCTTTACTGCTTCTTATCTATACTGTGTCAACCCACTTGAAAACTTGCTAGAAAATTTTCTTCAGTATATCCCTTTAATCAAGCCTCTTTTCTGTTATGAGCTTTGTATGACTGTTCCCTGGCTTACAGAAAAAAAAAATATAAAGTCCTCTCGCTTACATTTGAAACAGTTCTTTATCTGCTACTTTGGGCCTCCAGTTTCAGCTCTTGCTATTTCCCAATAAAATCCTTCAGTTAATTATGGTATACACCCATTATATTCTGAGCATAGTAGAGAACTATCTCCATAATATTTATCTTAAAAAACAAAACTTTATATGGAAATTTCTAGTTCACAAAAGTTAAAAAAATAGAGTATAAAGAATTATCTAGATATCCTTAGATTCACTCTCTGGTTTTATTATTTGCATTCATGTGGGCTCTTAATCCTTCCTCTCTTTTTTTTGAATTATTTGAGGGTTATGTTACATAGAATGTGCTTCTTTCCTTTAATACTTCTGCTTATTCCTATGAATAGGGTCATTCTCTCATATAACCATTGTATGGTTATCAGCTTCATAAATGGATGTTAATATAGACCTGTTGTCCATCTTCCAGTTTTGTCAGTTGACCTAATAAAAATCTCTCCCAGCGGTTTCCCTTGCTTCTTGTAACAGAAGTGAGTCTAAGCTCAGCTCAGGTACTACATGTAGTTACTATTTTTCTTTAGCCTCCTTTTTCCTGGAATATTTCCCCAGCCTCTTTGTCTAGTATGACATTGACATTTTTGAAGACTGCAATCCTTCCCCTCCCTTATGTTCTTCATTTTCTGTTTGAAACAGGATTAGAATGAGGTTATGTGTTCTTGGCAAGGATACTGCATAGGTGATGTGATACCCTGAGAAAGATGTACACCTTCTGGAGGCACAGGATGTCTTCCGTCCCTCATTGGGATGTTAATTGTGATCACTTGGCCAGTGTGTTGCCTGCTTTCTCTGCTGTTACAGTTTCTCCCCCTTCTTTAAGCAGTGATGGGGGAGACAATGCCAATACCATGATTCTCATCACAGTTTGCTCTAGATTTAGCATTCATTGATGATTCTTGTCTGATCTAATTTTTTACTATCACGTTTCCAAAATGGTCATTTTCTCATTCTGTTCCCAGTGGAGCTTTTTCATCATGCTCCTGTGTCCTTGTGGGAAATAATTTTAGAGACCAAGATCCCTGGTAGGGGTCCTTGTTGCTCCTAGATTGTCTTCTCTTCTTGACCCCTTCAGTGGACACAGCTAGGAAATCAGTGCATGTTTATACATGTACATACATAAACATACTTGTTCATGTACACATGTACGTAGCAACGTGCATCTACGTAGTTTATAAATCATGTGTTTATGTCAGTATGTCCAGTTTCGCTCCACATCTTCAGGGTTTTTTCTTTGCACCTCTTACTTTATATTTTTATATCCATTTTTATACCACTGGAGCCTTGGTTCCCAACATAGTATATTTATTCATTTGGTCTATCCTATAATATATCTAAAATCATTTCAGATTTGCTTTGCCCACTTAATTATAGTAAACAAAGTGAGTGGGGAATTTGTATATAGTTTTGCTCAGGACTGAGAGGAAATCCTATATTCATTTTTTTGACTTACACATTCGTATTTAAAATTTTTTTATTTTTAAATTTTTATTGGAGGTTAAATTTACAGTGTAAATCACTGTAAATTTCAAGTGTAAAATACTATATTTTAAAAATACTTGAATTAGTCCTCCCTCCTCCTACCTTCCCTTCCCTCCCCATTTTTGTTTCCAACCCTTACTTGGTGCATGATGTAGTTGTGATATTTGTTTGAAATGAAATAAGGTTTATTTATTTGTGTGTTTGAGTTTCAGTTTGTTTTAAAATGCTCCTCATTCTGATTCTGGTTTTATGTTGATTATGTAGAATATGAATACGTTTTCAAAGGTCAAAATTACACAAAAGATAGACATTCCCTTCTGTATCTTTTCCACCCTCATTTTCCCATTTCTCAGAGGAAGCCACCTTCAGTGTTTTCTAGAGTGTTTTCCTGTATTTTCTTTTTGTAATGATAAGCAGATATATATATATATATTTTTTTTCTACCCCAATTGCTCACCAGTAACAGAATCTACTTGGCAGTGCAGGAGATGCAGGTTCAATCACTGGGTTGGGAAGATCCCCTGGAGGAGGAAATGGCAACCCACTCCAGGGTTCTTGCCTGAAAAATCTCGTGGACAGAGGAGCCTGGCGGGCCGCAGTCCAAAGAGCGGCAGTGGGTTGGACACGACTGAGCAGCAGCAGCAGCAGCATAGTTTGCATTATGTGCATATACCGTAGGTTATTCAGTCAGGTTCCTACGTATGGGTATTACCTAGGTTGTTTCCAGTATTTTGCAGTTAAAATGATGCTGCAATGAATAACCTTGTAAAAGTATATTTTCATATTCTTTTTTTTTTTTTTAAGTCATCTGTATTTGTTACAACTTTTGAAAGCAGAATGTGACTTGAGCACTACATTTCCATTCACAAAACTTGCTCCAAGTTACTTTTCCAGCGGCTTTACAACATGCCGGAGCAGGCTTATAAGTTTGCTACTCTAAACAATATTTTTCTTGGGAAAACAAGCCCTATGTATGGACAGCGACTCCAATCAAGTTGGTTCAGCTTAACACACTAACTTCTAGAGGCCTGGCACATGCAGTCATAACTACATGGGATGGAAGTTTTAAAAAGTATATCCCAGAAGATGAAAACTTGCTTTAACAAGTGTTTCTTTTAAACATCACGGTATATACTTCAGAACACTTCAGTGACAGAAAATTTTGGTCTACTAAAGAATCCGCTTGATAGCTAAACACTTCAGACCACAAAGTTAACACAGGTTACATACATACCTTACAACACCGCTCTTCTGTCTTCTGGCTTCAGTCTGGAGGATCCCCAGACACACGCCAGCAGGATCTACAGGATGATCAAGCTTGGTCTCGGTATTGATGAGGATGACCCCACTGCTGATGACAGCAGTGCTGCTGTCACTGAGGAAATGCCTCCCCTGGAAGGAGATGATGACACGTCCCGCATGGCAGAAGTAGACTAAGCGCTGCCTGAGCATCACTTTGCTGTGTGTTCAGCACTCTGTCTCCATTCCCTCTAATATGTTTTCAAATATTTTCATATTCTTGAGGGGGATATACCTTCAGGATAAATTCTTAGAAGTAAGATTACTAGGTTGGAGGGTAAATGTATATGTAGTTTTTGTTAGATGTTGTCTAATGACACTCCATAAGCATTATGCCATAAACATATGGATTCACACCAGCGATGTGTGAGAGAGCCTGTTTCCCCACTCTCATATTGTATAAGTTCTACTTAGTGTTTTTTTTAGCTGCGTCCACATTATTGAGTGTATCAGTAGTTTATTTTTATTGCTGAGTAGTATTCCATTGGGCTTCCTATTTTTGGCTTCTATGAATAAAGCTTCTAGGAATATTTAAGTGCAAGTTTTTGTTTGGATTTTTTTCCCTCTTGAGTAAATACCCAGGAGTGTAACTGTCTTATGTTAAGTGTGTGCTTATCTTTATAAGAAATTGAAACTGTTTTCTAAAGTGGCTGTACCATTTTATATTCCACTTGCAGTTTATGAGAGTTCAAGTTCCACTTATATCTCTTTATGAAACGTCTGTTCAAATTTTGTGCATTTCTTAAATTGGGTAGTTTGTTTTCTTATTGTATGACTTAAATTTTTCTGGGTACAAATTCTTTTCTGATATATTTTGAGAGTATTTTCTTCTGGTCTTTGGTCTCCCTTTTCATATTCTTGAATTTTTTTTTTTTTTTTGAGAATATAGACATTTTGAATAAAATTTTTGTTTTGGCTTATGAGTAATCGTTTTTTAGTGTGTGAAGAGATCTCTGCCTATTAATGAGTTTATGAAGATTTTTCTCCTTTGTTGTAGAAGTTATTAATTTTATCTTTATATTTAGGTCTGTGATCCATTTTGATTTAATATTTGCGTGTGATGTGAAGAAAGGATTGAGGATAAGTTTTAAAAAACATTGACATTCTGTTCCATGGCTATTTGTTGAAGACTCTTTTTTCCACTGTGTTGTTTTTTAATTGTGTGTGTGTGTGTGTACATGCGTGCTCAGTTGTGTCTGACTCTTTGCTACTTCATGGACTGAAGCCTGCCAGGCTCTTCTGTCCAGGGAATTTTCTAGGCAAGAATAACGAGTAGGTTGCCATTTTCTCCTGCAGCAGAGCTTCCTGAACCAGGCGTTGAACCTGTGTCTTCTGCGTTGGCAGGCGGATTCT